AAGAAATCAATGGGAGAATTGTTACCGTCCAAATGTAAGCTTAAAAGAAGCCTATTCATACATTATCAAAAGAAATTTGATTGGATTCTCAACAAGCAAAAACTATATGATGTACAACACCACTCATCCTTGATATGCTGGGACAACATATCACCTGATTTTCACACCTGCTCACTATCCCATGGACCTATGCTTGCCCCTTGTGATTACTACATACGACCTGAAAAAGTGATGCCTGATTTAGAAAATGATCACTGGGATGAACGAAGTGCACAAAGAATATTTCAGATGGTAGTCAGCATTCAAGATACAATGTATTAACAATTGCATACAAGATGACCGAGATTTACAAATCCAAAACATGGTTAACGAATAATAACATAGTAGTGCTCAAGGCTGATAAGAGGAAAGCTCTTGTGTTATTAAAGAAGAAAACGTACATTTTGATGATGCAAAAATACATCATTAATATGGAGTGTGAACCTGTCAAGGATGGATATGTCAACAAATTACAAGCATGTGTAAAAAAGTTTACTCAAACACCATTGGCTAGAGTGTTCAACATATGTAGGGCAGTGGTGCCTTTCTCTGACACTCCCAGGCTGTTTGCATTCGCCAAAACACACAAGGATACACCTTCATTGAGACCGATCATTGACAAGGCACAATCCCCCACTAGATTGTTAGACACGGCTATACACAAGCTTATAGCTCATAGCTTGACCAATTATCCATGGACAATCAAGAATTCAATAGAGTTATTGGAGGCTTTGAGATCTCTTAGCATTACAGATCAAACGTACAGTAGACCCCCCTATAACGCTTAGATACGTTCCACTTTATAAGAATTTTACATTGTAGGAATCCTTAAATACATGAGCCAATCGCAGCCGACACGTGTGAAGTTTACGGACTACAGCTGTTTGAAAGGTTTTCTTCCATAAAATTAATCAATTCTAGACTAATTCGACTCAACATTTCCAAAATACGTATATTTTTTTGGGAATAATCCATATAAACTATGCTGTAAACAAAAAATTGTAGGATTACTTACCGAGTGTGCATCGTTTGACTACGCCATTGCTTACGCTTGTTTTCATCGCGAAGCAGCGCACCAAACGGCGGCCGCGATTTCTGATAAGTTATTTTTCTGAGAAAACTTCGTTGAACTTTGGAGACATCATTAATATAAATAATTTTTATGGCCGTTGAATAAGAAATGTTTCTTTCACAAGAAATGTATAAAATTAGTGCTGTATTAGACTTACGGTACCTAATTTACATACTGTACAGACGATAGTAAACTCAACTTACTCGCCTAAACTCTCCGTAGCGTGGCGCTGGACGGCGGAAAGTATATATATAATTATAATAAAGTTACAATAAATTAAGTTAATTTATAATTATATATACAGTACCTAATTTATATATAATTAATATATAATTATATGTACAGTATCTAATTTATATATAATACTGTACAGATGATAGCAAACTCAATTTACTCGCCTAAACTTTCCATAGCGTGGCGCTGGACGGCGGAAAATAGTTCGGCTGCTCATCCACTATTGGTCCAGATTCGACCAATCTTGTTGCGATACAAGTCGGTGACGATGTTTTACGAGTCCCTTTATACGAATACTGCTGCAATTTTTTCGCTACGTTATAGGAACCCACATTATAGGGGGGGGTCGACTGTACATCACTGTGCTTGATTTCATTTCATTATACCCTTCTATAAAAATCCAGCCTTGCTTTTGCGCAATTAGGGACCTCTTACTAACTTCGCATGGTGCGCACTGTAAACAAGTATTGGAGCTTGCCCATCTGTTATGCTACACTTCATTTGTTCGGTTCAACAACAAAACTTACCTCCAGAAGCGTGGTCTCCCTATGGGCAGCCCACTTTCAGGAGATTTGTGTGAGTTAGTCATTAGACAACTAGAACAAAGAATCGTACTGATGTTTATTTCTAACATACTTATTTATAAAAGGTACGTTGATGATATCTTTATTATGTGGAATGCTAAACCTGATATAAATAACTTCATTGATGCAATGAATAATAACCATATGGCCTCTGCATCAAATTGGAACAAATAAGCAATTCAAATGCAACCTTCCTTGATATCAATATACAATTAGATGGCGACAGGATATCAACCAAAGTCCATTACAAGCCATGCTACAAACCTCTATTCATTCCTGACAATTCTGATGACCCCTTTTCATACAAGGTAGTGGCGGAACCGGACCCTAACCAAAAGAGCATTCACACACCACTTAAAATTCGACGATACATTGGCAGAATTACAACACATCCAGAACATAGCCACATGACACAGGTATGGGCGAAGATTAATTCATAACCTTGCATTTGTCTATTCATCACAAGTATATAATAATAACAACGATAACTCACACATGAACAACTCCAATAATTCTCAGTCTTTGGCTGTGGTTGAATATAACCAGCACTTTGACCTGATTTACAGAGAAATTGCTGCATGTACAAACAAGAAAATTGCATATAAGAGGCGTAGTACCATTTATGACATCCTGCGCAACTGCAAAGACGACATAGACAAAAGATTACTCCAGGGGTATATTCTGTCCCATTAAGGGAACATAGATTTCAAAGGGACCTTGTATATATTGGGTCCATGATACGTTCTCTAGGTAAGAGTTTACACGAACACAAATATGACATTGATCATAACAGATGCACCACTGCCCTAGCTACTTATGCTTCGACCCCAGGCATAACAGCCGACTTCCATAATGCGCAAATCATTAAACTATCACACCGAAGGGAACACATACGAACGCTAGAAACTTTTGAAATATATAAAGTGGAGTTATGCAATAACTGCATCAACTATAAGGATACGATTAATATTTCTACAGCTTGGAAGTTTGTGTATGAAGGGGAAGACCCCACAACTCTATTTAAGGTGTCTTTCCACCATTTCATGTGTGTGTAAAATAATATTTTTATATATTTTTTCTTTGTACAGTGCTTGATAAGCACACACAGAATGAATTTTATATGCAAAGTTAGATATGTTCCAAAACGTTCTAAAAATTTTAAATCTTTAAGCACAATGGCTCTTCGAATCTCGGAACTTTTAACCTGAAGAAGACTGAAAAATACAGTCAAAAACGTTTGTTGTTTTTTTTTACAAT